TGATTGCACTGAAGCTGTTTTAATAACACTTATGCAATGGATTATATGGTGGTTCCTGTAATTTTTTTGCCCAACAAACTGACTGAATGGACTAAAAATTATCCTTTTTTCCGTCATTAACAATTTATCGTCCAAATCACTGTCCCTCTTGTTCTCAAAATTTGGATGGAGTCCAGACTGGGTAATGAAGAATACTCTGCTCAGTGAGTCTGGGTTCTTCACCATTCAGATGCTTGAGTATTACGTTTAGATTGATCGCTCAAGGAACCCTAGATTCTAATTTAGATACTTTATATGCTTATCAAAGTGTCATTGAAAATGTTGGTCAGCAATAGGCAGCTCAATCCCAAGATCAGTAAATAATGGATGGTTTGATCAAGAAATCAGAGCTGCCAAGAAAACTTTAATAAACTATTCTTGCAAGGTTCTCAGAAACAAACTCATTATTTCCTCTGGTTACTTAATGTCTTTGAGGTCATCTTATAAGGAAGTCTTAAAAAAGAAAAAAAATATCTGTATCAAATTCTAATAGCAGCAGTCAGGCCTGGCTGTAAAGGACAAAGAGTCTCAGTTTTGGATATTGTTTCCTATGGTAGGAAGCATGTCAACATTTAATGGTAAAATTACTTACTGGTTGGAAGCTAGACATGACATGGCAGTCCCCAAAGTACAGCCCTCCCTCCTGACTGGCTGCCTACCATTTTCCTTTTATGGAAAGCTTGTGTGGGGAAAAATACAACTTTTCATAGGCACAATGTCAGTGTCTCTAGTGTCCCTTGAAGGTGGATCCAATGTGTCAAGAAGAGTCCACTCTGGTTCAGGCTACTTGCAATTCATCTGTTTCAGGACTAAGTCCTGAAAATCTTTATATAGACTATGATAAACATTAATGTCAGTCAAATGATGTATCTCTGATGTATATGTACATTCATCCATATATTGTTTCATTGCCCCAGCACAAAACAGAACTTTTTTTTGTGAAGAAGTAATAGCTGAAGCATGGAGATTTGAATGTTCTACAGATTTAGACAGTGCATCCTATGCATCTATGGAATGCGCTCCCCAGAGAGGTCCGCCTGGCGCCATCGTTATTTGTTTTTCGGCGCCAGGCTAAGGCCTTTTTATTTAAAACTTATTTTAACCGTTAAATTATTTGAATTAATAGGATTTTAAATTTTTAGCCGAGAATGCACTGGGGGTTTTAAACAATTTTTTTAAATTGGTATATTGTTATAATTTATGTATTTATGTATCCTTTGTAAGCCGCCCCAAGGCTTTGTTGTGATGGGGGCGACATAGAAATGTTTTAAATAAATAAAAATAAAATAAAATAACTACTTGCTGAGTTCAATGGGTCTTACTCCCTTAAGTATGCATTGAGGTATATATAGTCTAAATACTCAGGTCATTGATACAGTCATGTATTTCTTAATTAGTCATTGCTTCCATCACAAGAGCCACCCATATTTCAGCAATCCATCTCATTAGAGTCGGCGTCCCAAAATTGCACCACCCTTGCGTATACTGCCAGTGAGTGTGAGGAATCATAGCGAAGAGTCAGATTTTATCTCAAATTTCAACAATTCCCAGGAGAGTACTCAAAAAGAACACTTATTAAAGCTCCTCTACCAATCACTTCTCAGCATTCGTGCTGCACTTCCGTATCTGCCTGGAGCACTGGCATTGCTTTTTCGAGGAAGAACCCCTACCACTTGCTCTCAGGGATATTCAGAGAGTATATCTGACCCTAGAAATCCTATTATCAAACCTGAGCATGAGTGAAATAAAGGAAGCCCTTGCCATCGGTGTTCTTTACTGTCTCCTCCTTCACTAAATTATTTGAAGCTCAGTCTTCTACAGCATGGGAGAACAAATCTGAAAATCCAGCAAAAACTGCATTGTTCTCAAGCTGCAAGACGAACGCACAATAAATATGTTTGCAGAAAAAAACAGCCAAGTCTTATGCAAGTTTACTTGGGAAGGTCTTGCGTTCAGGGGCATGTAAATGTGTGTAGGATTACAAGCATAAGCAGAGGAACAAAGCACATTGAACAGAGCTTACTTCGAAGCAGATGTGCCACAGATTACATGGTTCAGTGTACAGAAGATCTCTTCTGTGCTCTGCGTATATCAGGGTATGAAATATAGTGCTAAGTGAATTCTATGGGAATGCTGTTGTGCACGCAGAAGATCCAGAGGTGTGCCCAATCCTGAGCTATTTGAGTTGTGAGCTCCCAAGACTATGTATGGTGCCTCTACAGGGCCTTGAAACTATTTAGTTTTGCAGTCTACATTTCTCTGGAAACTTTGGAGAGTGGTAAACATGCTAGATCACCATACATGATTGGCTATGTTTAGGTGGACACATTACTTTAGCATTTCCCACCCTGGCATGCTCCAGATGTGTTCAACTTCCAGCATCCCCAGCCAACTTAGCCAGAAAAAAAATCAGCTGTTTTCAGAGAGGTATCACTCTTCATTTCTATATATTTTCTCAGGAAGGATGCAGCAGATGCCACAGTTGATCAGTAAGCCACAACGCAACTGCAGGGAAAGGGAGGTTTGCTGGGATGGGAGAGATGAACAGGGGGCAGTGGATGCCATGCCTCTAGTCCAAGGCCAATGCTAGGGCAAGGCAAGGCAGTTATCCACGTAAATATGTTTAGAAGACAATAGTCTTGTCAATCTCTAATCTCTCATGTGCATCCAAGGTTCTTATCCAGTCTCACACCCATCTGCTCACATCTCCTCCTGTACAACACCTCGGAGCTGGAGTACTCTTGCCTGCCCTTTTCTGTTCCCATCCCTTGGGAAACAAGTGAGGCTCAGTCACCACTGAGGCTTTCTGAGGCCAACAATGCATTTCAAAGGGCTGGGATGTGACATTTACAAAGAAGCAGAGCCATCATTCCCTAGCCACTTGGAGCACCCTTCACTTTAAGGCTGATGGTGATGCTAAAATGCTGGATGTGAATGGCAAGGAGTTAATTCACTCAACGGAACCAGAGCAAAGGGCAACACTGACCACCATGTGTGTAATGCTGGAATAAAGCAAATAGGTTTTCCTGGGAAATGAGCTGGGGCATATCATGTAATGGCGGCAGGAACACAGCGGTTGGTCTTCTGGGAAGGGAGGCAACTGCAGCCTTGCCTAGCAACCTTGTGCCTGCCAGGATTGCTGCTTCACTGCTGCTGTTCTAACCTTTTTGTATGGTAAAGGTTTTATATTCTGGTTTTGCATATTGTATTTTAAGGCTATAATTTTTGTGAGTTGTCCAGAGAACGTAGGCTATTTGGTAACACAGAAAGGCAATAAATGAATTAAATGGGGTACAATTCTATGTATGTTCAGACAGAAAAAAAAATCCTATGATTACCAGCATTCCCCAGCCAGTTGACTAAAATGTGTAGGATTGCATCATTAATGGATTATACAGGACAGAAGAGTGTTGTAAATGAATAACTGAATATGAGTGACTCTGTTAACCAGCGAGTGCCAAACCTTCTTCTAAAAAAATAAGTTGCTGCTTGACTCTGGGAAGTCCTTCCACCTATTTCAGTATCATTTCAGAACCTGAATTTAAAAAAGCATTTTATTTGGGTTACAGTATTAAGTTCTGGGACTGCAGGTGGTACAGTGGTTTAAACCACTGTGCTGCTGGGCTGGTAGATCGAAAGGTCGCCGGTTTGAATCTGCACAACAGAGTGAGTTCCCATTGCTCCATCCCAGCTCCTGCCAACCTTGCAGTTCGAAAGCATGCAAATGCAAGTAGATAAAAAGGTACCACTTCGGTGGGCAGGTAACAGTGTTCCGTGCACTTCGGTGTTTAGTCATGCCGGCCACATGACCACGGAAACTGCGGACAAACGCTGGCTCCCTTGGCTAGGAAATGGAGATGAGCACCGCCCCCTAGAGTCAGGCATGACTGGACTTAATGTCAAGGGGAAACCTTTACCTTATTAAGTTCTGGGCCTGCACATCACTCATAAAGAGGCTGTACAAGGAAACTTTTTTAAAAAAATGATCTAATACCGTTCAGAGGATACCCCTTGTCTCGATTGATGCTTCTTTCCAATCTCTGCTGAGAGATCAGAGATAAGGAGAGGGACTCCCTTGCTTATCTCAAATCCCTCATAAAAGATGGGAGTTAATGGATTAAGAGTGCTCTCAACAGCAGATGCAGAAAAGGCTTGATGGGCTATACTCCTTCTTTGCCTCCGTGATTTAAGAGTTTAGTTTATAGCAAGCAAAGAACACTACTCAACTGCTTACAGGAATTTCTTCCCTTGCCACTCTTTCACACAATCACCGTATGGCAAAGATGGGACAGCTGTGCCAAGGCAGTATCAGCAAGGCCTCAGCCATGGCACCGCCAAACTACCTCAGGTATGGAGGAAGATGCTATCCGATTGGATTCTGCCTGCAGTGGTAGCAACAACAACCAGTCTTCTGGGTGCAGGTTGGTAGGAGAAGCACCACTAAGCCTTTGCCTCAAGCAACAAAAGAAGGGACTCCTGGATATATTTCTCAAATTGATACTTCACGCCTAATCATCAAGAGTGGGGATTGTAGTAAAACAATAATTAAACCAGTGCTTAACATACTCAGACTAGGAGGCTCATTATCTAAAAACAAGGCACTCTCCATCACCGCTACAAAAAAAAGCACAGCAAAGTAAGCGCAAGCCATGTGACATTTAAAAAGTTGCTTTTTCTGCAGTGGAAATGGATGGTAACTTGTGGACTAAATTATGCAGCTACAGTACAGGCTCAGTATACCATAGAATGTGCTCTTTACTTGAGAAGTGTCATGCTTATGTGGAAACACTTAAAAGTAATAAGAAACTAATTAACAGAACATGAAAAGTCAAAATACAAGATTTCAACTTTGTTATTATTCTGGATTAGTTTAGGATATGTTAGTTTAAAAAACACTTCAAGAATGTTAACACAGTACATATCATTTTTTATTTACAAAAATCTTTTTCTTTATCAGCACAACAAGTGTCATTTATAAATCAAAATGTTTCCATGACAGTATGTACAGAACACAAGTTGAAACAAAGCAGCTAAATAGTAACACTATCCTATACAGTGTTTCCCCATCAGCAGTATCTGAAAATAAATATGCCTGACAGTAAAAGAAAGAAAAAAAAAAGATCTTCAAGATAAACACTGGCAAATATTAGGAGCTCCCAATTAGAGTTTACATTGGAATGAAACTGATTTTTTGCACTTTAAGAACTGCAGCACAGTATCAGTTCTTTCACAAGTATTCTCTATGGCAATACTTTAAGCAGTGAACCAACCTGTAAAAATTCTATGGCAAGAAAGTCTCTCCCACAAAACTAACATGCAAATAATAGATACAGGTATGGTGAAAAGGAATTGAAACCACAGATACTAAAACAACTTGAAGAGGCAAGACAAATCAGTTTAAACTGCCTACAACAATATATAGTTTTCTTAATACACTGTAAAATTAATGTTATGTATCACTTTGGACTCCTTGTTTACCGATCGGAATTTGCAAGAGCAGACACATCTAAACCTTCGCCTTTGTTGCACTGCTCATATAAACTCTGAAATTTAAAAAAGCAAAACAAATGATCAGAAGCTATACTTGTTCTTCCAAACCCCTTTTCAAAACTCAGCATACAGCTGAGCTTTTTACTTAATCATCTTTATCAACAGCTAAAACAAAGCCCAAGCAAATAACATCTATTTTTGCTCCCATTAAACTTGACCGTCCTTCCTACTTTTCACCCCATCCAGCCCAATTCATTATTTTTTGCTTGTCGTGCCTTTTACTCTCTAACACATTGGTTGGGTTCAGTCAACACAACCGCTCATGAGTAAAAAAGCACTGCAGTTGGTTGTGTTCTGAAAATCCAGGACAATGTCCACAGAGTATTATAGAATCATGTAGTTGAAAGGGACCTAGAAGGACATTGGGTCCAACTGCTGGCTCAGTGAAAGACTCAAGTCTGCCATCCAGGTTCTAACCAGGGCTGACCTTGCTTAACTTCTAATATTAGGCAGGATCAGACACTTCAGGCTATATAGAAACAGCAGCTGATTCCAGGCAACAAGTTAGACTCACAAACAGATTGCCAAGAAAAGGTTCCTGTAAATGACATGGAATGCACTTTTCCACTTTGCAGAGACTCTGAGACTGAGAATTGTCAGGTCCAACTTTAAAATATAGAGGATCTCACCGAGAAGGGGACAATGTAATCGCTATCCGCTTTTGCAAGCAACAACCTTCTCACAGCATTGCTTTTACCTGCAGGTTGCCACTTGACAGCTATGAATGGGAAAAAAACCAATGTATTTGAAGCATGGCATTGGCAATGTCCATAGATAGTGCCTGCTTTTACAGCAGGTACCTGCCTGCACATTGACCAGGCAAGGATTCACATTTTCACCGTGGAGTAGTGCAGTCATCACTCCCTTTTGCAAGCAAATTATCACCTTGCAGCTTTGCTTTTACTTGGCAGCTGTCAAGTGAAAGCAGCTTAATGCACGGTGCCCCAGAAGGCACCGCTTTGATAGCAAGCACTTACTAGGCCATCGACCAGACCAGGTTTCAAATTTCAGATATTTGGAGTTGCACATTTGTGTCATTCCAAAGGAAAAATTAAAAAATACCCAAATCATTCCTGCATGTTTTTGGAGTAATTCCTTATTTATAAAATAAGCAGAGAGCCAGCAATGGCCACTCTCATGTGGCAATGGGGCACTTTGGAGTAACTGTTGTCGGCTGTGGCTTAAGAAATTACATAAAATTAATTTCCTCTTTCAAAAAAGCGGCAACCACATATGGGGTTGCAATGGTAGTGGAGGAAAGCAATCCAGTGGCAGTTGGTTCAAAGTGCTGCTTGAGTGATTGGTGGGGTGCCCATCACTGCAGTGACCCAAGTGAGCTCAGCAAGGGGTTCTCATTGCTCTTGCTGAATGGCTCCTTCGCCACTTTCCTCACCAGGCCTAGTCACTTGACTTCAGATGACTTGACAACCTTTCATGAGTCAAACAACTGCCAAATCAAACCACTGGTTGTCAGAGTGGCTCACTGGGGAAACAAGCAACCCTGCAGGAAGTGATCTAAGTTTGCACAACATGTAAGCCTTCTTGGTGAAAGGAAAGTCCGATGCTGCAAAGATCTCTACTCCATAGGAACCTGGAATTTAAGATCCATGAATCAAGGCAAGCTGGATGTGGTCAAACAAGAGATGACAAGACTGAACATCGACATCTTAGGAATCAGTGAACTAAAATGGACAGGGATGGGTGAATTTAATTCAGATGACCATCAGGTATACTACAGTGGGCAAGAATCCCTCAGAAGAAATGGAGCAGCCATCATAGTGAATAAAAGAGTAGGAAAAGCAGTACTGGGATACAACCTCCAAAATGACAGAATGATCTCAGTTCGAATCCAAGGCAAAACATTCAACATCACAGTAGTCCAAGCCTATGCCCCAACCACTGGTGCTGAAGAGACTGAAGTTGACCGGTTCTATGAAGGCCTACAACACCTTCTAGAATTAACTCCAAAAAATGATGTCCTTATCATCATGGGAGATTGGAATGCTAAAGCAGAAAGCCAAAAGATAACTGGAATAACAGGCAAGTTTGGCCTTGGAGTACAAAATGAAGCAGGGCACAGGCTGGTACAATTTTGTCAAGAAAATACGATGGTCATAGCAAACACTCTTTTCCAACAACCCAAGAGACGACTCTACACATGGACATCACCAGACGGTCAACACAGAAATCAGATTGATTATGTGCTCTGCAGCCAAAGATGGAGAAGCTCTATACAGTCAGTAAAAACTAGACCAGGAGCCAACTGTGGCTCAGATCATGAGCTTCTGGTTGCAAAATTTAGGCTTAAATTGAAGATAGGAGGGAAAAGCACTAAGCCACTCAGGTATGACCTAAATCATATCCCTGATGAATATACAGTAGAGGTGAAAAATAGATTAAGGAATTAGATCTGATAGACAGAGTGCCTGAGGAACTATGGACAGAGGTTTGCAACATTGTACCAGAGGTAGCAACTTAAACCATTCCGAAGAAAACAAAATGCAAGAAAGCAAAATGGCTGTCTGAGGAAGCTTTACGAATAGCTGAGGAAAGAAGGGAAGCAAAAGGCAAGGGAGAAAGATACACCCAATTGAATGCAGAATTCCAGAGGATAGCTAGAAGAGATAGGAATGCCTTCTTAAATTAACCATGTAAAGAAATAGAAGAAAACAATAGAATAGGGAAGACTAGAACTCTTTCAAGAAAATTGGAAATATGAAGGGAAAGTTTCATGCAAAGATGGGCATGATAAAGGACCAAAATGGCAGGGACCTAACAGAGGCAGAATAGATTAAGAAGAGGTGGCAAGATTACACAGAGGAACTATACAAGAAAGAGCGTAACGTCCCTGATAACCACGATGGGGTGGTCACTGACCTCGAGCCAGACATCCTGGAATGTGAAGTCCAATGGGCCTTAGGAAGTCTGAGCAACAACCAAGCTAGTGGAGGTGACTGTATTCCAGCTGAGCTACTCAAAATCCTAAAAGACGATGCAGTAAATGTGCTACACTCAATATGCCAGCAAATTTGAAAAACTCAACAGTGGCCACAGGATTGGAAAAGGTCAGTTTACATTCCGATCCCAAAGAAGGGCAATGCCAAAGAATGGTCAAACTACCACACCACTGCACTCATTCCACATGCTAGCAAAGTGATGCTCAAAATCCTACAAGCTAGGCTTCAGAAGTATGTGGACTGAGAACTACTAGAAGTACAGGCAGGATTTCGAGGAGGCAGAGGAACTAGAGATCAAATTGCCAACATACGCTGGATCATGGAGAAAGCTAGGGAGTTCCAGAAAAATATCTACTTCTGCTTCATTGACTATGCTAAAGCCTTTGATTGTGTGGATCACAACAAATTGTGGCAAGTTCTTATTTGTCTCTTGAGAAACCTATATGCAGGTCAAGAAGCAACAGTGAGAACTGGACACGGAACCATTGATTGGTTCAAAATTGAGAAAGGAGTTCAGCAAGGCTGTACATTGTCACCCTGCCTATTTAACTTATATGCAGAGCACATCATGAGAAAGGTGGGGCTAGATGAATCACCAGTTGGATTTAAGATTGCTGGGAGAAATATCAACAACCTCAGATATGCAGATGATATCACTCTAATGGCAGAAAGTAAAGAGGAACTAAAGAACCTCTTGATGCAGGTGAAGGAAGAGAGTGCAAAAGTTGGCTTGAAACTCAACATTAAGAAAACTAAGATCATGGCATCGAATCACTTCCTGGCAAATAGATGGGGAAGAAATGGAGGTAGTGACAGATTTTATTTTCCTGGGCTCCAGGATCACCGCAGATGGGGACTACAGCCAAGAAATTAAAAGACGATTGCTCCTGGGGAGGAAAGCTATGGCAAATCTAGACAGCATACTAAACAGCAGAGACATCACCCTGCCAACAAAAGTGCGTATAGTCAAGGCTATGGTTTTCCCAGTTGCAATGTATGGCTGTGAAAGCCAGACCATAAGGAAGGCTGAGCGCTGAAGAACTGAGGCCCTTGAATTGTGGTGCTGGAGGAGACTCCTGCGAGTCCCTTGGACCGCAAGGCGATCAAACGGGTCAGTCCTAGAGAAGATCAACCCTGACTGCTCTTTAGAAGGCCAGATACTGAAGAAGAAACTCAAATACTTTGGCCACCTAATGGGAAGGAAGGACTCCCTGGAGAAGAGCCTAATGTTGGGAACAATAGATGGCAAAAGAAGAAGGGGATGGCAGAGAATGAGGTGGCTGAATGGAGTCACTGAAGCAGTCGGCGTGAGCTTAAGTGGACTCCAGGGGATGGTGGAGAACAGGAAGGCCTGGAGAAATGTTGTCCATGGGGTCATGATGGGTCGGACACAACTTAGCGACCAACAACAACATGCCTTCTTGACTTTTCTGGTGGGGAAAAAGAGATTTGACTGAAGCATTAAAATATATCTGAGAAGGAGAATTGCCTGGACTTGCCTAATTTCAACACACAAATACCCTCAATTCATGTATTCCTAAAAAGTTTCAAGTACTATAATATTTAATTAGGAAAAAATTGATTTTGAGGGCAGCATCCATTGGGGTTTCCCCTTCTTCTGCATTGCCCTGAACTTCCCCAAATCTTATCTAGAGAGTATCTAACACCACAGAGAAGATTCTGGATATGAAGGGGAACAGGGAATCCGTTGTGCTAAATGCGTCCACTGCTTTCATGGACAGACACTGTTCAATTTCATCTCATGTTTCTACTTCTGAATGAAAAATGATAAAAGCAAATTGATCTTAAATTTTCACATAAGCCAATATAAGCTTACCATTTGTATATTTTAAAATCAATATTTTATCTATTAATCTAATTTTCTATTTGTCTCTTTTAAATATCATAGTACTTTATATTACTTCACCTTAAAAACATATAGCTAGAAGATGGAAATGTCAGAGAGAATATAAATCATGTCCAGAAGCAAAACAAGTATTTGTAGTTCCTGCACAATGTTTCATTGTCTAATCCATCAGGAAAGTGGGTGTATTTCCCAGTGCAATTTAACCTCTCTTTAGTGGTCATGGTTAATCTTGATTTGACTGAAGGATGGGAACTTAAAAAAAAAACCCAGCAGAACAAGCCCAGAGGAAATCCAATTACATATCTCCATATTTAAGGGTGTTGTAATTTAAGATAGCTCTCTTCAAATTGCCAGAGCCCAGGCCTGTTTACACAGGTAAGAATTAAGGATGGTTTAGCTATGTATCTATTCTTACAGTTCACTACAAGATTAATATTTCTACTGTACATTTTGAATATAGAATATTTGTGCTCAAAATGTCTACTTCTTAGGATAAAAGAAACAAGGTTTCTCCAATTTTCTCCTGGGTATTTTGTTCAGCTTTTAATTCACTGTTTTATCTTAATGCCTTAATTGGTTCTGCCTTGTATTTTATTGCAGGGTGAATCATCTTTTATTACAAGCCTGCTCAAGGGACAAGTGGCATCTAAATTTAAATAGAGGAATTTCTACAAATAGATGACAGATTGGGCTTCAGCAACTATTCTCATAATGCAGGCTGGAAAGACCACATGCCAGAGCGCTAGGGCTTGATCCCCCAGGATCACAGCAGAAATCCTGAAAGTTTGTAGCTGTCGTATCTTAGTTAAGCTGCTTTGAAACAGCTAATGATGATGACAGCTTGCAAAATATTTTGGGAGAAAACAATGCAGGTTTCAGGTAGCATTGCTTAAAAAGAGGTAAAAGTAAGGCCAAATTTTTCTGTCTCAAGAGAGAGCATTTTTGAGGTGGGGGTAAGCTGGGATACTCTTTGTTTTAGGGTTATGTAGATGCTTTGATTAGTTCCCTTACACTTCCTTCAAAGGCTCAGTGAGTTCACCTCTCTTACTGTGACATGCCACTTCCTATCATTAGAAGAATATTCTACTGAATATATATTAAATAACTCACTTTCTGCTTTCTAAGACCCAGCACTCCATCAGCAATACATTTCCTGATCAACTCTTCCTCATATCCTTCACTGCTAATCAAATCTCAGTTCTGTTCTTCACTGGGCAGCTACTACACCCATAGGCTACATATTCTTTTGTCCAAAATGGGTTGCAGACAAGAACTGTTTCATTTCTCTATCCTTGTATAGAGCCAAACAATACAAACACAAAACCATACTAGCAATACTATGATTTAAAATATATTTACTTACTCTAGCAGCTCTAGAAATAGAGTTAGGAGAATTCAAACCAATAAGATGACCAAGGATACGTTTCATTTCCTCTGTTGTTCCTTTTGTAGTGGAATTCACTAGAAGAATTTAAAATTCAGTTATGGTTTATACATCTGGTCAATGCTTCCAGTTAAAATGTGTGAAAATTTGAAACCCACAGAATTTTTTGAGAAACCTTAGGTTAACAGGAAAACTTTAGTTTGTGTATTAGCTAAAGAAAGTAACACAGAGAATCACTTTTATTTAAGAGAATTCTGGTGAAAGTAGTGAAATGAAGTAGCAATATTAATTATAAAGCTAAAGTTACCTGTTTGTGATTTGTCTTGGATTTGTACATAAGGATGAACCAGCAATTCAGACACAGATATTCTTTGTTTAGGATTCCTTACTAAACAGCGCTGAAAGAATTGGGGATGAATTTGAAAATTAATCTTCCAAAAAGGCATCATTTACTGAAGACTTTATCTACAGATAGCTTAGTTTTTCACATTTTCCGTAGAATTATATCTATTGAAAGTACTCCCATCAATTTAGTTTGCATTTCGCAAGACAGGACTCGGGTCTGCAGTTTTACAATAGAAGAGATTCTGTGAACATTACATGTGATAGCAGCAAAGTGCCCATTGGCCCCTATTTCAAAGAGGTTGGTCATACTGGGAAATTCTTACCCAGCTTACTAGACTGAAATATATCAAGTCCTTTGACTATGTGCACAGCCCCTCCGTGTGAACCACAGTTAAACTGGATAGATGCTAATTAATCATGAGTTCCTGTTGTATCCCAGTCAGGAAATCACATCACTAGTTTTGGAACAAGACTAATTTCTTAAACTGGGGGTTAATATCCTGACTTGTTGTCAAGATGGTAACCAGAGCATTCCTTATTAGCCCAAAAAGGGACCTATGGTTAGATACAGACTTTCAGAATTATCTGTAACTCACACAAAAGGGGGTTGTATACATAGGCAAAATGCTCACCCAAAAGCAAGTCTATGTGACTACTCCAGTACCCAAGTGTATATTCCTAAATAGCATCTAATATGCTTACCGTTCTCAAAGCACTAAGAAGCTAAACAGAAAACTAGTGTGGACTTTTTTGAGCTTGCCTGGCTTATTACAATGTGAAAACATTTTCAGCAGTACCAAAAGTTACATACAATGGCTGTAAAGAACTATGTTTTTGCACTTACAGTTCACAGCTACCTTACCTATAAGTCTTACTTCATTCCCTCATTTTAGATAATTTCCAATGATGAACACTACACATATTTTGCTTATACAGCCAAAATGTCACCACCCAATCACAAAGAAAAGGTATCTGCAGGATCAGTGGAGGTCTTATTAGGTATGCACAAGTACCAAAAAATCTGCTTTAAAAAATTCTTCATCACTATAATACATAACTTGTAATGTATACTTTTAAAAGTAGTGGGGAGAAGAGGAACAATATGGATGGGATGTTTAACCCTCCTAATTTTCATCAGCGCTTAGATAATCCTGCACACCAGTCCACAGCTCAAGCATTGCTGCTCTTTCATTTAGGAGGTGTCCCTGTACAGAGAAACTTGATTTTGAAGATGGCATAGGCTAGCTACTGATACACATACACTTTTACTTGCTATCTATATATGCAAATTATTAAGCCATGTGATCCCCCACTGGCAGTCTGAATTTGCAGCCAAGATACAGGTTTAGCACCTCAGTGAGAAATAGGTCTAAGCCAATTAGAGCCAACTGCCAACTACTTTTCTGTTAACATCTATACTGCAGATGAGCTACTGAGGAGACATTGGTATGCTTGTGTTTTTGATACCTCAAACTGGAACCAGCCAATGACAACCAGGAGGAAAATAAACTTTTCACAGAAGCATTTCTAAGATGCTAGCTGCATTTCAACCACTCAATTACAATCAAAACATACCACATATATTTTGCGATTTTTAACACATGCGTATTCTTACACCTGAATGGCTTCAGAGAAAGCAACCCATGCATAAGTTCACAAGCTTGATTTCCAAGAATGGTGGAGCAAATGAATCCCACCAGCAATGTATTTTTAAAACTGCGATTGCCAAAACCACCCCTCTTAAAATATCTCCCTTCCAGACTTTGGACAATTGCTTCTTTCCTCAGTAGCCCACTGGCAGCTATCACTTGCTCTCAGATAGGCTCCCCCTAATCAGAGAGGCTTTTCAGGTGGTAGCAAGGGGCAGAAGAAGAAGAGAAAGAGCTTCATCCACTTCCAGCCTCAGGATTCATGTCATGGTACAATCTTTCTCAACTAAAAATAGTAAGATGCCAAAATTGGCTATATACATGGTGTTTAGGACTCAGTGTAGCAAAGGAAATATTAAGCAGTGGTACAAAATGATACCTTTAGGACATCCTGAAGGTCTTTTTCTGCAATATCAGGAAAGGCTATTTCATAATTGGGATCAATTATGGCATGGAGTTTTGTGATTTGATTTGTTATGTGCTGAAATGGAGTTCTTCCATAAGTCATGCAATATAAAATGCAGCCCAATGACCAGACATCACTTTTGGGACTGATCTAAAAATAAAGACAGAAGGAAGAAAAAGAAAAGGCTTCCACACTTTGCTTTTGAAGCTCTTACCATCGTGATGTTATCTATCTGGCATAACAAAGTATCAATTCAGCAGTAAGAACATGAGAAAAGCAGATCAATGGCACTTTGTCAGGACAAGCAGTTTTCTCAGAGTTATGTCACACAGAAATATACAACAGTTTTAGCATTTAAAGGCCATAATCACTGGTTTTCAAGGCTAATGATTTACAATATGAGTAACTGGTTTATTAGAATTGTTTAAAAAACTTACGCACATATGAAGCATCAAAGGAAATGGTGCACAATGTTAAGGATTCAGCAATAGCGGGAAACAAGCAACATTTATATTTTAAAAAGTCCACTCACCTATCTCTGTGACTGCTTTATTCTTATTACCACATTGCAAGAAAACCAGGAACTTTGCACTGGGTTTGCACAAATTTACAAAGCAAGATATGAAGCATTTCCTGTTATCAACCATAGAGAGAATATATTACCTTTGACCTTGACTTGCCATTTTCTCCACAGGAAGACATGTCTTTGATTGCCTCTGGTGGCATATAATTAACTGTGCCAACCTAGAAGCATTAAAAGCAGGAATATATTCAAATGAGAATTATATTTATAAATACTTCTCTGCCTTGTTAACATTTTCTTTGAAAACCCTTTCCAGAAAGCTCTAGGGGAGAAACATCAAAATATTAAAATAGATGGTTTCAGTGAGGCAGACAATGAGCAGAATTGTCATTTTTGAAGAATACTGCAGAGACAGAAGTTCGTCTTGGGTGACTTTAGAAAGAGCTGAGCACATGCACACAAGTTTTTAAAACATACACTGTGCTTTGATTCCACAGAGAAATACTGATGTTGGCAGTTATAGAAAATGTCCAAAGCTGCTAATGCCACACTGAATGATGGAAACAATAGCATTTTCTTTGTTAAAAAAAATCCCACATGCCCAAGTGAAGCCAAGGACAGCATTCCTGATTTCAGACTCAGTACACAAGTGATAGGCCACAGGAACTAAGAGCTTCTGAGGGATCTTGAATACATGGGATGGAATACATCAGTGCCATATTAGCCTTAACTATGGTTAAGGCTAACCAAATTCCTGATGCTTAAGGATCCTGGCAAAATGGGAAGACTGGCTGTTCCTAACCACTCTTGCATATATATTCATTAATTGTTGTTAAAGACAGGAGGGAGAAATCTACTTCAGGAGGAGAAGTTATAATCACACAGTCTACTCTTCATCTCTTAACCTGATTTTCTAACCTTACCTAAGAGAGAGGGTGACTGCGCACATCGAAGGCCCAAAGTGAATTGGGCTTTGTTTTAATTATTTTGTAGTCTTGAGAATACAAAGCTGCATTTCTTGAACCCAGTGGAATTCTATACTACCCCACTCTGTGGTCCCTTCAGCTGCTGTAGGAGTCCAACTCTTAGCTTCAGCCAGCCTGGCCAGTTTTCAAAGAAGGTGGGAGTTTGGGGCAACAGGTTGTCCATTGCCTCTTCCTCTACCCCCTTCAGCCCTATATCCTTGCAACACTTTAGCACTAGCCTGGTGTAAATGAGGCTACAATGCTGTAGGAACTACAACCTCACCAGAAGTGGTTGTGAATCCTGCAACCTGCCCCCTTAGCAACATATGCCTCAACTATGTCCAGCTTTACCAAGTGATGTAAATATGCACATATGAACAGGCACACAAAATTCATTACATTCCTCTTGATAACTACTTGGGATCACATTCTCTTTCCTCAAACAATGTTACTAAACACACTCAATGTAATTTGCTTTAATTTAAGGTAACACAAGGATGCCCCAACAGTCTCACCTGTGAATCTTTAACAATACTAGTCACATCTGGCTGCATTTGGTTTGCAATACCAAAATCTATTAGTTTTAGCATTCCATCCACTAACAGAAAGTTTGCTGGTTTCAGATCACTGTGAACAATACCTACAAAATAAGGATTTTTTTTTTTCAGTTAGTCCAAACTAATATGGAATTCATTCCCACAAAAGAGCAGAGGGAGAAATTTAAAAGCCAAGGCATCTCCAATCTAGGCAGTTAAACCTGGGATTTTTGCAACACTGATATCTGATTGTGATTTGACTGCTCTACTCATTCTTCTCCAAGAAGTCCTTTACTTTCAGGAAGTGGTTTTGTTTTGTTTGCCAGGGCGGGGGGAGGGGGGGCATTATCAGGCCAGAATGTAGCTCTTGCACTTGTACTTCTTTCCCGTGCTTGGCCCTGGCCTGAGCCAAACTGAGAACAGGAACACTAGTGCTTTCTCTGCATTTCAAAGTATGTCATTCTTTCCACAAAGTACACACACCCACAAGCCACATGCACAGAAGCTGGAGTACATTTTGCACAGCAGGTACGCAGGCCACGTGTTCACAAGCCAGACTCGTGGACTTGCTTGGACTCCCTTCCTGCTAGACTTCATGTGAGCACTTGCCATGAGGCAAGATTAGGGCATAGAGAAAGCGTGCTGGAGTGTGTGGGCAGCCAAGCCAAGGAAATCTGATGGATTCCCAGGCCCAAAGTGGATTAATTGGTGCTCCAGCATAACCATTCCTAGTATGATAAGACCTAGCCATGTTGCTACATGCCTTAGTTAAATCTTGATAGGCCCAGTGTTGTTTACACTACATTGGCCTGCCCTGAAAACCACTTAGAAACTTAAACTAGTATAGAATACTATAGGAAAAATTTTTGATTGGACAAGATGCCGGAATCATGTGATCTTTATTAGCTTCACTGGCTGCCTATATTTCCAGGTGCTGGTCATTACCTTTAAAACCCTAAATGGCTTGGGACCCAGCTACTTGAAGGACCATCACTTCCCATGTGCACCCATCTGTCCTTCAAGAGCAGCCATTATGCCCCCTCCTCAAAGTTCCTGGATTTTTAAAACACAGTTAATTTTGCTTTTTTCTTTTCTTTTCTTTTTTTTTTGGGGGGGGGGGGGGGCTTGCTGGAAAGACAGTTGAAAAAATGCTTTCCCAATTCTCATAAAACAATGTAAGTTGCCTTTTTATGAAATGTACATCCTAAAAATTAATGACAAGTCACTAAGATTGAAAAATGTAACCAAAAATAGTCACTGTATTAAAAGCCAAATTGCATTAAAGCCCAAAAAGTCATTTGAGAACAGGTGTAATACTATTGTTTGAGGTCAAAGGTGTACTTAAATTGTTTAACAATTAAATGAGCAATTTATGAAGTAAATACATAAAAAGCTTGATATACCAATGTCTAGAAAATGTATGCACTTAAGTTTAATTGGCAAATTATGAGTAAGGAGTTGTCTTTTCAAAGACATGATTCAAAATTGATCTTACTTAGCCTTAAAGAATTATCTGTGAACATTTTTTGTGTGTTCATTTTTTTAGGAATGTTTTAACAGTGAGATAAGAGTGTGTGTGTTAAATTATGGGACAGTAGCTATTAGCTATGAAACAACCGCTGAAAAATCTGCTGAATTTAAAATGTGGGAGCTACTTATCAGAACCTCACCTTTTAAGCGGAATAGTCTACTCTATATATTGAATAGGGAATAGACTAGCCCTTAGAATAATATATCTCCTTTTCAAGACACTGCTACCAGAAATATTTAGGAAATTTATTTCCAATTAAGTTATTAATATCTAAGAATCTATTCCCAAATTCTATTTAACAAAAGTGTTTTATGTCATTTTATGCAAGTTATATTTCATTAGGATGTGCTATGTATATTTCTAATTTTAAAAAATGGATCAACCTGTTTTAGTTTGCTAATTCTTTTTAGTAGAAAACCAAAACTGAATGCACTTAAAATTATTTTTGGTATATGCTTGCTTTACCTGAAGTGTATCATCAGCTACAGGTAGTTAACTGCCTGCCAAAGGCTTCCTAAATACTGGAACTACTCTTTGAAAGCACCAGCAATGACCATATTCCTAACAGTTGGTGGCAACGCAGCAGCTTGTATTTGGAATTACCTGCCCCAAGAAGTTTATTTATTAATTAAATTTTTATACCACCCAAGAGCTGAGGTTAGGTCACCTTCCTCTTGAATCTGTATTTTACTGGCAATTGAAGACTTCTTACCCTTAAACAAGCATTTGGCTTTGCTACTTTATTTACTGACAGCTAGTTTTGCTTTTTTAGATTTTCATCTTTGCTATTGGTTTCATCTGGTTGTAAATATATTAAAAGAACAAATAAGTTGGCTTGTATATTTTTATGTTTTGTAAACTACTTTGAGCAACTTTCTTTTTCCATGGCAAAAATAGGATAGACATTTCTAATTAAATATCAAGTTCACTTACAGAATAAAGGTATTTTTATGATTAAATTAACTAAATACTATACCTAAAATGCTCAGTGCAATTGTTGATAAGCTTATTATTGGTATAGTATGAAAAATGTAATAAAAGAAATCTCTTTAAGCCTCTTACTAATCTCAAAAGCCTTATGCAGGTTTCAGTCAATGCTTCTATACATGCTCTGAATATTTATACATTTGATTTAAATTGTGATGGAGGAAACAATCCTACAGACATTGTTGAGGGGTCATAGGATGGTTTGGAACAGGGAACCAGAGCTTCACCACTGCCCCGCACCCTGCTGCACAGAAAGAACCATGCTAGCTACCGTTTGAATTGGGAAAACAACTTGGAGATGTGTTAGAATAGCCATTATGAGGGTCAGAGAGGAGACGGAAGCAGCCACAATATGACGTATCCTAAAGCTGCTCCAGCCTTCTTCCCTCCCCCTTTTCAAAAGCCTTTGCTAAACTGTTGAAAATGGCTGTTTAGCAAAAATGCAGAGCAATAGGAGCGAGGTGACAATTGCCTGCACTGCTCCTCCCACTCTGCAGTAGTACGAACCTCTGAGTTCAGGGGTGCATGGGATGGTACCCTAAGATTTTACTTTGCTGTAAGGTATTCAGTATTGAAGCACTGCAAACCTTAATGGGGTTTGCCTGCTGCTAGCTCCTGAATTCAAAATTTTAAACATTAACAGATGTGGATTACCTTGCAGGCCAAGCTGGACTCCAGTATGTACACAGATTGTGAAGATGGAGGGAGGGAGAAACATGTAGGCTAGGACACTGAGCTACTTATAACCCACCTAGAAGTCTTGATCTGAGATCATGTGGCACTAGAATTGCACAGAGGTGCTTAACTACTTAGAATAGTCTGGATGCAGTGGATTGACTGTGTGCTTAATTAGGCAGGTCACAGCAAAGGGGGTAAATACAAATGCAAGCAACTAGTGCCAGGCCTTTTGACTTAACCTGTGTGCCACAACAGAAACAGTGTGCATTGTCATGGTGTTGAGTATCTTCTGTACATTGCTTGGTACAATGCCAATTAAATTCATTTCAGTTGCTTGGTGTAACACAAGTAAGTGTAGGAAAATGGGTGAATGTTCACCAGTGACACTAATCAGGCTCTTAGCATCAAAGTTTCTAAACCACCTGTCTTTAGACCATGTCCTGAAACCAAATCAGCCAGTTAAAAAACCGAACAAATAGTACCCTGCCTTTGCAATGCCAACCCCAAATAATGCTCACCTGAGGTCAGTGCTTAAGTCTATTCAAGTTCAGGCAATGATTGTTTTATTTTCTTAGGATTTTTGAAACCTTGTCTAATCTGTTTGCATTCTATGGTTGCCATGTTATGCTTTTATCCTCCTCCTGCTTTATCATTATCTGGCTATTTGATTATATTGCCCCACTTGTTTATGTTCTTTGCCCACTATCAATGCTGAATGGCAGGGCAGAATTCTCCCAAAAGAAAAAACGGTGTTTATACATACCATGTTGGTGGATTGTATGTACAGCTTCCAACATGTTTTTCCAATAGCTCTTCCTTTCCCATGGGTTAATTGTCTTTTTCTTTTTAAGCCAGCTATTAAGATCAATATTTCCACACTCCATCACCATGTATATACTCTTCTCACCAATTTCACTAAAACAAGATGGTTATAAAAATGAAGTTATATTTCATAAAACAATTTGGGCAACAGGATTGAACTCATTCATAAAACATATACTCACTAGTCATAAAGTCGGATGATCTTATCACTATGCTGCTGAAGTTTGTTTAAGTGAGCAATTTCATTTTTATAGCTTTCTATAGTCTGTTGATCTGCGTCTTCTAGATGCACATATTTGATGGCATAAAGCTGCTTCTTTTCATCAAGTACTTGGAATACCTGGATTGGGGAAGGGCAGATATAGGAACATTAGATTTGTTCGCTTTAAAATATACTCTCAATATTTCTGCAATTTATTGTCATGGATTTCAAACTGTGAAGCAGACAAGGATATTAGTCCAGGACTGTATGTGTATGTCTTAAATACATGCACAAAGAGACTGCTGAGCTTCCTCTGTCCACATAAATACAACTTAGGAGGCTGTGTTCTATGTCCCACTTCAGTTAAAAACTCTGTGGACAACAGACCACTTTTTTAACCTTACCACCATCAGTCAGGTGTGTGCGTGTTTTTCAAACTCCTCTTGTAAAGATCCTTAAAACATGCACTCATTCATGATTTGCCTGCATATCACAGAAATGTATTTCCAACTGATTTGACTATTTCATTAGCATGGATGCTTGTGATTCTGAGTCTAAGGATGCAATCCTGACCTCCCAACTGAAAGGATACAATCCTATGGCTACTAGTTGCAAATCCATCTCTAATTTCACTGCCACAAAATAATCATGATAATTCCCATATCTGACATTACAAGGTTTTCTTCCTTTTAAATATTTTTTTCTAACAGATATGGATTATTTAACTCAAAATCTTTGAAAACTTGGCACATGGAAAAATCTAAATAATTTTCAGGCCGAAATCCTATGCACTCAGTAGTAAGCACGTTAAATTCAGAAGGACTGACATGCACAAGACTGATTTCTCAGCGAGCATGCACATGATTCTACTAGAGATACTTGAGAATTATGCCCATGACTCGTTCTGAGAAAACTGCATTCATTAAAACACACACAGATAAGCAGAAAAGTTACTAAATAATTCTAGCAGGCTTTTCTTTCTCTAAAGATAGATCCCTGCATTCTGCCTTGAATGTTTGGTAAGGAAGCACCTTACTGAACACACCTGGCTGTAATTATTTCTGCCATGGTGAAATTGAACACATTCCCTCCTCAAAGATACCATCTTCTCAGTTCCATCACAGCAAACTCATGGAGAGGCCATGTAAGAGAGTTTAGAGCTGATCTTCAAACAGGGAGAACATGAGTTCGGTTTAGGTTTACCACATAACCTTCAGCCACTCACTGTTACACAAACTAACTGCCTTGTTAGCGCTAATGTGGAGGGGGAAATAGGAGAGTTTATGAATCAACTCTTTAATCTATTTTCTCTTTGGCATTTAGTAGTAGAACCTTATCATGAACTCCTTGAAAGGAGGAGATACTAATACTGCTAAATAATAATACTGTCACCCACGTCTGGGAAAAGCTGAGGCTCAGTGCCTGTTCTTGTAGAGGTGAAGATTCTTAGGATGACAAAGAGATTGTTTGTCAAATGATCCATCCTCAAGAGAAAGAAGTTGAGACCAGAAAGAAGTTGCCACAGGATGAGGACTCTGGAACCACCACCACAATTCTCCCATGGGAGAGATGAAGAGTTACTGCCTCTAGGGCAGGACAAAGAAATGAGGCAGCCTCAGAACAACCTGAGCCGGGACGGAGTGTCAAGTTACCACCCACAGGACAGGATGCTAAGATGTCCAGCTCTGCCAATGGGGAGCCCAAGATCCTCAATGCGCTGGCTCGGCACCAAAGTCAGCTTCAAGCCCAATTGGACACACACAAGGGTTCTGTTCACTATTGGGTATAGTGCTCCTCCGTTTGGGTTGACACACAGAAGGGTTCATAAGGGAAGCTTTGGTTAATGAACAGTACATAGAGCTTAACTTTTGTACTTGACGTATGCTCAGAAGTTTGTACAACAATAAACAGAATTAACTAGGGAGAGACAAGTGGCAAATACAAACATATTAAAAACTAATTAACATTTGTTAAGGAATAATAAAGTGATTAAATATATATCTGTTAATGCTGAAATCCTGATGTATCCAAATAGCCAGCAATGCTTACTGCTATTGTGGTGGATTTATTTTTCCAGCTAAACCAGGTAAGGTCACCAGTTCTGATGGCATTCCTCCAGAGATGCTTCAAAGTAATATCAGTTGGCTGTCTTCTAGTTTCCTTATTTTCCTAAATAAACTATCGGGTATTATTCCCGTAGCTTGTTTGAAAGCCTTTATAATTCCAATGTATAAGTATGGTTATAAAACTAATCCAGCCAATTGTCACCTTATTTGTTAGTGACAGTAGGGAAGGCCTACACCAGGGGTCTCAAACTCAACTTACCTGGGGGCCACTGGAAGTAGAGTCTGGGTGAGGCTGGGCCGCATCAAGTATTCCACCACTGCATGGGGGAGGGTGGGCCGCTCATCCCGCATCGCTCCCGGAGGCCGACCCGGGCACCGCCGGCGCTTTGAAGGCCGCAGGGCCCCTCCCCGTGCCCCGCCCATTCTGGCAATTGGCCCGCGGGCCGCGAGTTTGAGACCCCTGGCCTACACCAATTACCTAGGCCTTAAGGGCATGCATGAATCAATAAGTATGACATTCTGGGAGAAGAACAGATTGGGCTAATGTAGAGCACCGGAAACCAAGGTATGGTTTTGGCACACCTAGCATATCATTATGCCACATCTCACTCTTGCCTGTGGAAAAATCCTGAACTTCTTTCTACTGATAAAAGATTCCTGATTCAGCCCTTATGCTCCAATACCTCTTCCCAAGCTATTGCAATATGAGATATTATCGAGATAGCCATTTCCCATGGAATATAAGACAAGGCTGTGTGCTTGCCTCTATTCTATGAACATGTATCTAGCACACTTTCCTAATAGGCTAGAGTGACTGCCTTCCTATGTTTGGACCTACTAAAGTTTTTCCTTTTTAAATGCAGATGACAAGGTCTTGATTTCCTAGACCAGGCTAGGTCTTAAGACTGATACACATGTTTACTGACTACTGTGAAAAAAGCTTACAATTACCAGTACAAAGTCTAAGCTAGCTATTTTCTAAACAGGCTAGATTTCCCTGCTCCATGTGATACTTTAGAACTAAACAAGTAGATATAAGCTTCCATCAGATTGTCTCGGGAGTGCAGAAGTGTGCAAAGTCAAGCAAAAATGGGGGGGGGGAGATACCCACTCTTTTACTAGGGGTGGGTGTTTTCTCTGTGCAGCCATCCAAGCTGTTAAGGCAAATATTTCACACATATTATATGGGGCAACAGTTTGGCTCCTGTGCTCCAACTATCCCCTTGAACGTACTCCATCTACTTTTCTGAGTTTTATTTGGCATACCCAACTGTGTCTCAGGAGCTTTTTTAAAACTAGAGGCTGAACCAAATCCAGGAAAGTGTTTGGTTTATATCCAAGTTATACACGTTTTAGCTTTCTGTAGACTGGTGCTTGCTACAAACTCCTTGGTCTTTAAGAGCCTGTTAGGTTCTTTTGAATTCCCTTAGTCAAAGGCTGTGATGAGTAAAGTCACCTCAGCAGAGCTCTCACTGGATTTGTTGCTGTCCAGGAATTCGGCTTGTGCTAAATCAATTGTAACAATGGTTGCTAGACACTGCTTTCCAGGACCTGAAAGGTGCTACCTGGGGATCATGTGTGTCTCAGTCTACAGGCTCACCAGTCTCCTTTACCCAAGAAAGGACACTCAAGACTCCCACATATAGGATAACATTTTGATGTTCTTGTCATCACGTCTGTAATTACCAGCAGAGTTTTAAGGCCTAAGCAGCTTTGATACATTTACATCATGTCCCATATGCAGCAGTTGTCACTAAATCAACTAAATTAAATTGTAAATCAAGCTGAATTACAATTTAATTGCTTACCTTGCTTGATCCTCCACTGCCAATTTGTTTCAACACAGTGTACCATTTTCCTTTAATAGCAATGCATTCATTTTGACGTGCAGAAGCTGGAATCTGAATAAATGAGTATATATTATAGAATGCTTTTCCCAAGGAAACTTGTCTGACACCAACACCATCTTTCAGCACTACAAAGGTGTATTATTTTCCCAGTTACATGGACTGTAGTTGTGCATAGTTCCTCTATGGTGTTCAATCTAGACTATGAGATTGGATGGTGGTGGGAGGGTGCGATTATGCATTGTAATGAACATTTTTATATTATATTGAAATTATGTTTTACACTGTTTGTTTTTATTGTGATACAGTTTATATTGCTTTTGAGTTTTTCACCATTATATTACATCACATTTTTTTACATTTTTACATTAACCACGCATGTGTAATTGGCTTTGAGACTGCTTTATATAGAATGAATCAATGCTGAAATTTTAATACAACAACTACAGGCATTTGGCTAATAGTCCCTCTATAGCTACATACATGTACATGCAACACATTATTGTTGGTCATCTTGTATAATAACTTCTAATTTATATTAATTTTGAACATGGTAGAGAAAATTTTCCAACATGTTGCAAATTAAGAGACCAACTGGCAAATTAAAAGACCAATATCCTAGCTCAATTTATTAAACACTGTAAGCTGAGGCCAGTATTAAAATATAGAAAGTGCTCTGCATCTCTAAAATGCAGGAAAGCCAGGAATATGGAAAATCATAGTATGTATAAGGAGAACTGTAGCAGGTTGCATTCAACATTTCTGTGAACAGCAATGTAGTGGCACCTGTACATATGCAATCAATCATTTAAGAGTCCTGAAGTCAGCATGAATTAAATTTTCACTTCTTAACTACTTACATGCCAGGATAATGAGTTTATGTCCACTATTTGTGAATCAATCCTTTCCCCCTCCAAAATAACTTATTTTGTCATTATTATTACCTGCAATCCTGTCTGCACTTGGAAGGGGGTTGATGGAGTACAAGGTCGCAAATATGAAAACTGGTTATACGGTGTGGTTGCCATACGCATGAGAAGATGGTCATTCGATACAACGGGAGTACTGAAACTGTCAGAAACAATCGTTACTATCCCTGCAAACTCAGTATTCAACTTTTCTGAGCACCAGTGCTGAAGGTTGAATATATACTTTTGAATTTTGTTTACACTGTTTTATAGCTTGTGGGACACAAAATTTGTGGGGTCATATCCAATGATGATGGCCTGGCCTTAGCAAAGCACATTTCCATTACAGGGGAAATGTTGGTTCCCTCTCTTCGTAAATGCAGCCCTCTGCATCAAAGACCGTTCTCTAGCAGAGGGTATCCAACCCACAGGTATCACTTTTATGCTCAGGAGAAGGGCATGAGCTTTAAGTTGGTGGGGATCAACAACAGTTTCTCTGACTTATGCGAGCCTAACTGCTTTGGGCTGAATAAGCCCCCATTGATTGCAGCCCTTAATCTTCAAATCTTAATTTGACTAGAGCTAGATCAAGAAGGTAAAACATATAAAGGCCTAAAAAAATATCTTACATTACACAGGATCCCTACTGACCATTTCAATATTTTATAGAATACTTTTAGTCTAAAGTTAGTATCCAAGCCATTTCTTCAACATAAGCTGCATATGAAGCACCTTGAAAATATTTCAGTCAATTATTATGCATACATACGCTATTATAAATAGGCGATACTGTGCTTAAACTGTACAAAAGAAAATTCTCACAGAATGCTAGAAATGAAATCTAATTTAAAGAAGGAACCACACATCGGCGCACACAAAGTTACCAGGCCATATATTCAGGCAAAGTGCCGCTGTTTGGTGTTGCAGCAATTAATGCTTGGCTGTTTCTCCTTGAAGCAGTCTCTGGTGGTGAAAATTTCTGCAAAGTTCGCTCTGGCGGTGAAAATCTTCTGGAGACTGGTAATGCTGAACATTCCAAGCCTGAGCTTTTTCCCTACAAAACAGGAAATCCTTTATATCACTAGTTCTCAAGCAAACACAGATAGTATAATATACCTACTTCCACTGATCCATATTTTCTACGGCCAATTTAAATAAAAATCAGTCTCTTGACTACATAACTGCTCTCTTCAAGTTTACTGTGTATGTTCAACAGTTTGTATTGCACCAGTATTTGCAAGCAGTCATCATTCATGCTTGTTTGAGCAACAATAGCCAAGCATAAAGTTAGGCTGGGAGCTTGTCACAAATCCTTGTCCAAACAGTGCTGCCTTCATTCAGTTCTAGCTTGCTAAGGAAGAGCCAGTACTGCATGGGTTAAAACAACTACTGCTTGCTGGCTAGTGACATGTTGCCAATGCCAAGTTTCAGTAACACCTTTTAGAGAGGCTTCATGGTTAGTACAGATTCAAACACAGGACTCTGTAAAGCAGATTTTGGCCTCTGTCTATGTATGAACTTGTTCCTGGGTAATGAAAGCCTGGCTGGAGGAGACACAATACACCAAACCAATCCCTTGGAAGAAATGAACCATTCTAGCAGCCTGAACAGCTTGATGGTTCAACATGGTTTGTTAAGCTGCTGCCATTGTCAACAAAGTATTTGGACAACTACTGACAAAGCCAACAATTTAACAAAACAGAATGCCTAAAACTTCATGAAACACACAAGATTACCTGAGAATTTCTCTCATGCATTGCTTCAAGTTGAGGCACTTTTTTTCCAGAGACAGGGCAATTTAATTTGAACTGTTCCTTTTCCTTATGGATGTTTCCAAGAGAAACTAAATGCTGCTGCTGTCTCCCCAAACAGCCTGAGTCCATGGTCCTCGGTTCTTCATGCTGTCCCTCAGTTTCTGAAACAAATTCACTTGTTATCACAACAAAACACCAGTGGAAGAGGCTGGAGCATACAGGGAAAAGGGAAGACCTGTTAATAAAGTGATGCTGATCCTGCTGATGGAGTTAGCTTTGTTAACAGAACGTGAGCTGAGATAAGAAAGTGGCTGGGAATAGGAACTATAATCAACATTAAAGAAAACAGGAGGCAGATATTCTGATAACATGACCTTTTGCAGAAGCCCTAAGTTACAGCAGAGGAAACACTGGGGCTCTAGGGTACTTAACGAAAACATGGCTCTCAATGTTAGCTTGTTCAGCTGAAGGAAAAGCCTTAGCTTCCCCAACAATACCCCACTCCCTTGTTTATCTCATTTTCAGCTAGGCCGAATATGCTGTAGCTACATCCATGTTTCACTAGAACGAATATCCCACAGCACAGAGTTAAAAGCTCCCTGGGAAAAAAACACTTTCATCAGTCCAACCCCATAAGAATGGAAGCAAACCTTTTCTTTTAACAGTACAACTGGAATAGTTATTCTTTAAGGTTAGTGTTGAATTGGTAGCTGCTTCTGAGCTTTCCTCATCTGACAGCTGCAGTTCTGTAACTCTTCTCCTTGGTAAAGGCTAAACAAAAGTTAAAAAGCAAAAATAAAACTGAGAAAAATCACAAACAGATTAACAAGGTTTATGTATTAACATTAGTTATTTACAGTGCTTTGTAGAAATGCTTACATTCCTCTTTAATTTTCCAGATTTTGTTGTATTGCAACCTGTGTTTCAGCACCATGCCTAATATTTATAACCCACTATTTCTTAAATGCTCAGGAACAGGCAAAAGTATTTTCCTATATAGAGTAAGGAAATATTTGACCTAGAATAATACCCAACAGCCAAATAACAACACAAGAACAAGTCTGCTTGTTTCAGTACACCATAGCTAAAACAAACTACTGTACAATTTATCTTGATTCAGACATAACATTGAACTGTGGTTACATAAAAATGGAAGCAAGAGTTTCTAGTCTTCGTCTGATGTCTACCATGAAGAGGAGAGGACAGATCAAGTCCAAAGCTTGTTCACATAATGCTAAAAAAAACCCCAAAACTGGTTAATGTTACATCCAGTATCTATACTTGTGCAGTTTAAAAAAACTCAAAAGAAGCTACCTGCAGCATAATAGCTTCATGAATAGTTAGAAACTTATGGGAAATGAAACCGACTCAGTTACTTTGTGAGTACAGACCCTACCTGTTTTTACACATTTAATATTAAGTTATTTTGGTTCTTGCTTCAGGATGTTACTAAATTTGTAATTGTTCTACACCAGTGCACCTACATTCTTATCAAATATAACCAGTGCTTTTTTTCTAAAAAAAAAAAAAAAAAAGGTGCCGGAACTCACATCTTGGGGTCATACTTTTATGCTAAAAAAGATTTTTGGTGTAAAGCCAGTCACTCTACACACACATAAAGCCAGTCACTCTACACATACATAAACATAATGGTCGCCCCCGCAGTAAGCACTCACTATCAGCACAGACACAAAAGCAGCCCCCAGGCACTATGTTAATGATGTTTGCTGCTGATCTGCTACACCTGACAGGCAATTCAAAATCACTTCGTAAAATCCATTGGAAAAAAAAGGTGCCGAAATGCCGTTCTGCGTTCTATGACAAAAAAAGCCCTGACTATAACTATCAACCTAAAACAGAACAATCAGAATTACCTTCAAGTCCTCTGGCACATATGGGTCACTTTCATTAGGATTTGATTCATGTAATGGCAACTGGATCAATTTGCTTCCAGATATTTGCCTAATGTTAATAAAACAATAATTACGTCAGACAAAGCTACAAATGGAGAAATAACTCTGACATTAGCATGGAGAATAAGTTAATCACAACTGCAAACTCTGTTAAAAATTGAGAGATTGCAGTTGTCACAGTATATGGTAGGCATGTCATGAGTGGAGACGGCTGGAGCCGGGGGTCAGACTAGATGGCCTGGGAACCCCTTCTGACTCACCCTGTTTCTATGTTTCTATATGAATTCCCATGAAGTAAATATTGTTCATACTAGTAAGAATTCAAATAGCATATGACAAATCAGAAAATAACACTAGGAATATACAAAAAAGCTAGTAAAATTCTATAATCACTTACAGTGTGAGGAAAAGAGCATATGTAATGTTAAAAACTACCTCAACAGTTTCAGAATCCTGCATATGTCCCTGTTTTTTTTAAAAAAATAATCCAGTTTAGCCCTGCCAAAAAAAACCTGTTTTGAAGGTTTAAACCAAGAGGAACTGAGAATGATGCAGTCTTCACCCATTTGTGCAAGTAAGTATCTTCGTGCAGCTTTACTTTCATTTGACAGATTGTCATTTGACAGCTATCAAGTGAAAGAAAAGTAACATATCTGAGGCATGGCTTTGTCAATGTCCATAGATAGTGCCTAATTTTACAGCAGGCACTTACTAGCACACTGACCAGGCAAGGATTCACATTTTTAGCAGTCAGAATTCTACATGTGTTCAACTCCAAATACCAATGGCTCCTCCAAATAAAAAATAACCCAAAAAGTGCCTATTTCTGGAGCACGTTTTTTTAAAAGGTAAGTGAACCAGTGAAGGCCACTCAAATATGCCACATGGACAATGGGGAAGGTTGTCACTTTGGAAATCCCAGAAAGCAATCTCCAAAGAGAGAGAAAAAAGCTCCCATGTCCACAAAAAGTCATTTTCACAATGGGCAGAGAAGGCTGATTCTGCAGTACAGCTTCCTGGAATACCTGCAGGAAGGCTGAGTGCAAAGGAGTGGGTGAACACACACGATGTTCAGTCCGATAACCTCTCAGGCACAGTGTAGGCTGTTCCAAGGACAAACAACCCACACTGCATAATTTAATTTAAATATTGAATTGTGCAAATTTATACTGTCTGAGAGAATGCAGTCCTTGACAGAAAAGTCATTTTCATTCCTGTTCATTAGCATGTTTTAATATAACCATACCTCTTTGGGACACTGGTCACACATGGCATGCTCATCTTCAAAGAATCATCTGTATCGTCATTCTCATTTAGTAATATGATAGGAACTCTCCCAAATGTGCACATCTAAACATTGAAACACACCAGAAGTTATCAAATACCAAAAAAGAAAACAACCCTCAAATGCAATATATAGAACAGAAGAATATCTACCTGGTTAGATTTGTTTAATTGCTTCAAGGGTTTGCGTCCACCCAAGACCAATTCAGTCTCTTGAGAAGAATCATTTTTTCCCCTGAAGATAAAAGGTGGGACATTATATGTGCAAAATGAAGTTAAAGCCAGAGAAAAAGTAGATTTGTGCAATGTTTGAAATTACTTACCCAGGACAAATGCTGGAAGCATTGGTAGTAACATCACCAGAATCAACATTTCTTTTCTTATTCAGGAAACTTTCAACAATATTGTATGAACTCAGTGCTGTAAATATGTAGTATTTGAAGATATCAAATGTAAAAAAAAAAATTAACCATAACTTACAAAAACTGTCTACTTAAATATTTTTAAAATAGAAGCAATGTATCAATTTTACTAAATTTCTGAAACCCTGTTGAGATACTAGTTAATTGGCTCCATTGTCATATTGCTGTAACAGTCAGGAAGCTTTTCCTGATGTTCAAATGGGAAGCTGGCATCCTATAACTTGAACCCATCACTCTGCGTCCTGCAGTCTGGCATGACCAAGAAAAAAAATCTGACTCTACTCTGTGTAGAGTCAGGTACTCAAAGAGTACCATCATATCTCCCCTTAGTATTCTCTTCTAAGCTAAATATGCTCATTTCTTCCAATCTTAGCTCATAGCATTTTGTTTTCAGGCCCTGCCATCTTTGTTGTCCCCCTTGGAAACCTTTACATTATGTCTGCGTTCTTCTTAAACAATAATGCCTAGAACCAAACACAAGAATCAGGATGAGGCCTAACCAATGCTGAATAGAGGGGAACTAATATTATTGGAAGTGATATTTCTATTAATGCAGTCTAATATTAGCATTTTCTTTTTTCGCAACTGCATCATTATCTTCAGTTTGTGATTTATAACAATTCCAGGATCAT